TCATTTTGTTGGCCATCTATAAAACATAATGGTACCAAAAAATCATGGTTATAACAATAAAAATAAAATGAGGGAAAAATCTTGTCATTAGCTATTGGGAAGAAATTCTTATGTCCAAGACTGCTTTAAAATTGAATTGCATTTTTAAAAGCACCATACTTTCAATGGATCTTAATGAAAATGAACAATGCACAAGTGGAAAAGTAGAAATGATACCATTCCACAGCAGTGGTTAGAGGGCACTGTGCAAAAATATTACTGCTTTAAAAACCACCTTTCACTTACAAGTTCTTTGATGTAGTTTGGGAAAACATCTGTCCTTTGCTGGATATTTTTACAGTGTTTGGTGTCTTTATTTAAATTTAATGAAGACATTGTCTCCTGATTCACCCAGTTTTTTCTTTGAGACCTTCTTCTACCCTTGGTTCCCCAAGATGGCAGCCACCTGTGACCACGAGGCCTTCCCTGTGATTTCTGTCCACAAGTTAGAGTAATCAGCTTTGTGTAATAGATATTACTTATTCATAGTTGCTTTTATTTATTTTTAAAGTAGAATTACTTAATACATTTTTGGAAATGCCTAAAGGAAAAAAAAAGATATATTGTAATGTCCTTCTATCCATGAGTGAGCAGATGTCAAAATTCAACACTAGAGAAAAGTACACAAGATCGAGGAGTCTGTAAGAACTCTGAAAACTCCTCACCTTCACTTGATTTGGAACCACGACATTACAAGCCAAGCTATTAAGGACAATGTATGTAATACAGTTAAAGAGAATGCCATTCAATATTGAAGAATGAAATGGTTTGGTTCTCATGAGGGATCACAGAAGAAGCATAAAGAACTCCTCACTTCTGCTGTTCCTTATGTTTGAAGATTTCCGATGTGGTAGAACAATGGATGGGTAACGTATTTGAACTGCAGCAGACTTTATGAAAACCTAATCCTGTCCCTTCTTTCTTTACTACAAAATAAAATTGAAATCTGTAAAATCTTAATGAAATGCCCAAAGTCACACAGCTGACTGCAATGAACATAATTTGATGCAGTAAGTATTGGTTCAAAATTGTTCATCTGACAATTAATCTTTTTTAAGGTGTGATCTTTGAAATTTATCATCTTTCCCCAAAGCCAAAAATTAGATTGGATCATATTCAAATAATTATATGATGAAGAGTTTTAATTTTCAGGTAGGAGATCATCATGACTACTAGTCTATAGTGGAAAGGTAGGACAGAGGAAGAGTAAATATGTCTCTTTTTGTAACAAAAAGTAGAAAATGAGCAGTATGCCTCCTCATTTATAAATAACTGACCATGAAAAACTAACTTCTGATTACATTATGATGTTAAGAAGCTAACTGAAAATTAAACAAGATTCACCAGATCCCACTGCATGTTTTAGAAACAGGGAATCATCAATTCAGGAAATTATCTCAAAATTATATAGATATAGATATACAGATATCCATTTTGTTTGGCAAAATAACTATGATTGCAGTGTACCCTCTTCTTAGGTACTATATATTCTAATTTTTGAGATGACAGACTTCTGGTCTTCCCATTATTATCACTTTAGATTTAATTCTGCTCTCTTCAGCTTCTAGTAGAGTAAACAGTACTATTTAATCTGGTGAATCTATATAGCATTTAAAGTTTGTCATTATACTCAATAATTTTAATGCAAATGAAAGAGATTTCTCTTTTGTACTTAAAATGTTTAATTTTTTTCATCTTAATTAGTGAGACTTGTGACTATAAGACATGTGATTTCTCACATAAAGAAACTGTGACCAAATCAATTAGTTCCCTGGGCCACATAACATTCCAACCACAGACCACAACCTCCTACAATTAACTGGCTTAAATATGCAGGCAGGGGCCCTGAAAATGAATCACATATCCTGTAGTGTGCATCTGGCTATCAAACACAGAAAAGAAACTTCTCTAAGTGAATTGCAGTGTCAATTTCAGCTAAGTACAAACAACCTCTGCCAGGATCAAAAGAATTGAAACAGAGGGGAACAATGGTTTGTAATTATCTATAAGAAACTTACATAAATTAAAAAGTAAACAAAATAATAAAGCTCAGTCCTTCTGAATAATTTATGTAATAACAAAGTGGTAAAATTATGCATAAAGTTCATTTTTCTTAGCCTTTTTTAAAAAATAAGGGATCTTGGCTGTATCAATGTTAAATTTTAATTTGCCCTTTTTATTTACCTTGTGCCAGGTGTGATTTATTCTACTTCAATAAAAGGCATCATGTTTCAAAAATCACTACACAGAAGACCAGAAAACAAACTGTTTCAGGATGAAAATATATATTACAATCTGAAATAATTGTGTGGACAGATGTCTGCATATTCATTTGTGGTTGCAATTTTACCAGTGAGGAGACTTGCAGAATGCCAAGACAGAAGTGTTTGCAGGGGTATCTTTCTGCAGAACCAGCAAATTCCCAGAGGAGGCACTCGTGTATTGCAGGTTATAGCAAGACCTGCTCTGCTTGTCACAGGCTGTGTCACACACAGGACTCTGATCACATGTCTTCTTTCCTTGTCCTTAGTTCCCCTTTATCACCCCATCAAGGATCAGCCGATTCCTTCATTGAAGAACAGCTTTCACCACAGTCCCTTTGCAATTAACTAATGCATGTTAGCTATTTTAGAAGTTTCTGGAACTCCTAATTTAAGCTGTCTTTGAAGCCTTCCAATCAAATAAAAAAACATTTTTTTTCCGTGAGAGAACTGTGATGTGATACAAGCTGTTAAAGCAATAAATGCAAAACCTTATAAAATCCAGGAAGATTGGAATCATTCAGCAGTAAATATTCACAATATAAAGCAATTTATGAACATAGTACTTTGTAAAGAATTTCTGAAAGGTTTGACAAAGTATTTGACTCAACACAAAGATGCATTCACTTCTTCAATATCTGAGCACATTCTGAGAAGTTTATATCATCTTTACCATTTTAAAAATGCTGAATAATATGAAGACTGACAAACAAATCACGCCTGAGAGGAGACAGTAGTTTGATTTTTGGACCATGCAAGGTTGAACAGTGGCCAAGGAAATGTGCTCTCCACCTGCTCTTCCTCATTGGACAGTAAAATTCAGAGTTAATTCAAGGTTAGATTGCAGTAATATAGATGCTGTACAAGTACCCTTTCATAAGAAAGGGAAAAGGGCTCTGTGCTATTAAATCAATAAAAGTAGACTTAAGAAGAGTTGTGAGTCTGTCAACTGATTGTTAACACAATTCTAATGACCTATTGCAGCTCTCGATTGCAATAATACCTCATGTTCTGAGAGCACAATGCCCTTTATAAAAGCTGCAAACCTTGAAGGTTTTTATGAGGGTGATGGGTTGTACTGCTGATGATCATTTTCTTTATTTTCCTTTCCATAGACAGACTTTCAGCAAGCTTTATTGCATAAGACTGTTAACACACAGATGCTGCCTCATTGCTTCCACCACACTAGTTTATAAGCAAAACTACCACCAGGTTGCCACTTTGACTACCTGCCTCAGTGCTTTTGCATCTTCATTCATACTTATCAAAATAGCTCTACAAAATGCAAGGTTTAGCAGTGAATTTCTCCTTTACATAAAGTAATAAGAAAAGAACTCTGGTTGAGGCAAAGCTTCCCTGTCCCTTTAGAAGAGAAAATATTTTGAGGTGAGTTTCTGAAGGCTTCCAATAAGAGTACTTGGCCCCGATTCTCTTTCCCCTCACAACTTGTCCAAAAATCATAGGCACTCTTAAAATTGTTTTCCCGTTGCTGGCAGTGCATCTGTGCAAACTTTCTGTTTAAAAAGGCTACTATTGCTCCAGAACTCTTTCAAAATACGTATTTTTGTGCCGTTTATCTGATTTTAAACTACACATCAACACTTAGCAAAGGGCAAAAAAATTGATTTTAAATATTTTCTTTTGCATAAAATCTCTGCATTACTTTGCCATAAAAATGATCTGCCACCTTTCTGGTAAGATAATGAAGGGTGAGTCTCACAGACTATTCTCTTAAATAATCTAACGGACAATATATATATGTATTTTTTTTTTGCAAAGTAAAAGATGTTTTAAGAATACTCATGCTTCAGTGGGTGCATATCTGAAGTCCTGAGGCAGGTCCTAGTGCTTTCTCAACAGTTTGCCATTTGCCTAGTGCTAGGTGAACTCACTGCTGATCTTTACTCACCTGAACTATGACATCTAAGAAATCCGTGGGGTTAAGGATTTAAAGCTCGAAGGCACAGAGAACAAAGGTCCTTTGGCACTAATCCACGCGGGAAGGTTGAATACCAGCAACTAGCCTTGTACCCTGTGCACTCACGGAGAAGTCCACCAGGCATTCGGAGAAGCAGGGCCCCTTCCCCAGCTCACACCTAAGGCACAGCCCGGAAGAGGGGAAGGAGGACGCAGAGCGGAGGCAAACCCTGCGGATGCACCGTATCAGCAGAATACTAACGACAGGAAAAAGCAAAGCAACCTTAGGTGAGTTCCACCTTCACAAAAGGCCAGATGGTTCAAAGGACTGCTGCACACACAGGCACACACCCCTGTCCAGCCTCGGACCTCTGCAGAACCCGGCAGCACAGGCTGCACGGAGCTGTGCCCCCATCAGTCCGAGGTCAAAAGAGGGGCCGGCTGTGTTCCTCTTCGAAGAGAGCGGTGTTGACTGTTTACCACTGCATTTAAAGAGCGCTGGGATATGCTCTTACCCTGAACTACTTCTCGCGTCGCACCTGGTGTCTGTAAACACCATTTTCTGGGCCAAGTTCCCGCTGCTCCATCCGCATGCCTGTCCTGCCTGGCAGAACCACCTCTCACGGCAACACACAGTAACTTGGGAGCGCCCAGGGAAACTCCACGCGGATACCCCCACCCGCTTTCTGCTCACTGATTAGTCCAGCTTCCAAATGCGCTCTGCAAGGGCGCACTTCTGCCCAGTGGCGCCTTCCCCAGCCTCTAGTAGGCAGACACACTCACCTGGGGCCCCGCTGCCCTCCTGGTGGCATCAGGCGCCAGGAACCCAGGCGTTTGCATCCGAAAGGACGCGTGCTCTGTGGTCGGGCGCCCGCGGGCGCCTTGGGACACTGCGCGCGCTGCTCCGAGCGCGGAGCGGACTGAAGGCACCCTTTTGGCACCTGCTCGGGCCAGGAGAGCAGCGACTCTTCCTCCAATCACAGGGCGCGGGGACCCTGCCCGGGCCTCAGGCGCTTGGTCCCACAGTCTCACCGCTCGTGCCAGCGGCTCAGACACCAGGTCCAGAGCTAACGGGAGCGCGCGTCCCGCCAGAGGGCGAGAGGGCGAGCGCGGGAGAGAAGGAGAGAGCGCGCCGGGGCCAGCCGGAGGAGGCGCCGAGGCGGAGAAGGAAGCTCGCCCGCAGCGGGTGGCGGCTGTCAGCGCTGTCCGAGGCCAGCTCGGGAAGCCACTGAGACTTCAGTACCTCCTGGAGACCCATTGAGGGCTGTTGGCAAAGAACGCGAAGAAGGAGCCGTCGGCCGACACGCGCGCACACACACGCGCGCACACACACACGCGCACTCTCCTCCACCTCCCTCCTGTCAGATCTGTACAGATGGATTCCTTCGCAGGAAAATAAAGAAGCGGGTTGAAAGTAGGAGGGGCTGAGGCCCATCCGTCTCTCCGCAAAGTATCTGCATCTGAAAGCATGAAGCTGGAAGAGAGTTTGGAGAATCTTTTCAAGCTCCCCTCCCCCCCACCCCGCGTCGCATAGCCCGCCTGCTTAGCTCGTCTTGAAAGCCGTTGATCAATTGAGCTCCTGAGGCATGAAGGCAAAGCCATAAAACTAATCAGAACTTACAGTGTTCTTGCTTGATAGTTTTGCCCTTTCAATCTCCTCCGACTGCCCTAGTTCTACTTTCTTTACTTGCAGAAAATTTCCTTCCCTGCTGGGCTCTCTAATACAAAACTTCCGCGGCGTATGATTTACGCGCAGGGTGGGACAGAGGACCCTCGCGAGGTCTTTTATTTACAGGGCGCCGCAGCCACTCCACTCCAGCATGCGCTCATTTAACCTGAAGTCTGGCTATTCTGTCACGGGGGTTAGGAAGGTCAACACATCATGCCTAAGTGAGGTCCTTTGCATTTCCCCCTTCCGCCAATGGAATCTGTCCTCCTTCCCGACAGGCTGGCCCTTAGCAGTGATTCTTCGGACCCTGGGACTCGGGCCCGGGCTTACTCGCATCAGCGTCTCGGATTTCCTGCGCACTCGGGCGCATTTGCTCTTCCCCCAATCCAGCTTTTTCTGGCCATTCAGCTTGCTTTCTCTTCCCCTCCCCCATGGACTCAGCATTGAAAAATAAATTCCGTGGTAATAATTCTCACGGCAAGCTTAGTTTATTCTCCTGGCAAATGAAAGCTCCCGTGCCAACCTACTTAACATTAAATTTTAAAATTTACATGTCTAACTCCAAACCTCCTTGGATCCTGGACTGTTTAAATGTTCTTCTCAAGGCTTATTTCCAGTCAACTTTCAGGAATTACACAAACTCGGGATGATTAGATCAAACATCTTTATCTCCCCTTAGGTGATATTTTGGGTTTCTCCAAGTTTTCGCTTCTCTGTCAGGGGGAATATCATTCACCAGGTACCCAGCCATGAAACCTTGGCTTTATTTTTCAGCCCTTTGAAATTTTTTCTGTGTTTAAATCTTCCATTATTCAGACGCATATCATATACTCAAGAACATTACCTTTCCTGCAGACTTACATACATTCACTTTGTTTGCCTAATGAACTGGCTTCAGGGGTATAAACTTTTCTTCTAATTGTTCCTGACTTAAAAGTCTCAGGAAGGTAAAGATTATGCTTCAGCACCACCAAGACACACCACAAGTGTGGCCCAAACTAAATGTTTTTTGAATAGAGATGTGAATGTTTTTGTACTGTCTAGCATTTAATTCTAAACGTACTAAACTGCTTTTAAATTCTTTCCTGCATGGGCCATGCAAGTATATGTGGTTATATTGAGATTGGTAATCAGGCATTATGGCATCTTCCTTTACTAGCTTGTTTTAATAAAAGTCATCTCATATTAGAGGAAAGTATTTGAAAAACATTCCAATAGTTGTTTTAGCGATACTTTCAAGTTTTCTGCAATTTTTTCTTTTTTAAAAAAAAAAATTGTGCTTCTGCATAAAATAAATCTGACTGCAGATTCAGGCTTTCATCTTGAAGCAGATGTTTCCATCCTACCTGCCTTCCTTTTTAACAATTCCCTTAAACCATAACCTCTACAGGGATTCCAAAATGGGAATGTGGGTTTCCTTAAGCAAAATGTTGGCCCTGGTTTGAATGTTCTGACTCTAACAAGTTGCTCATGCAGTTGTTCATTCTAGAGAAAGGTCTGGGTTCCTCTCAACCACAAAGGCACATCATAGGGGAGCAAAAAGGAAATTTGGGATAACACAGACAGTAACTCAGAGACACTCTTCTGCCCAAGGAGGTCAGGAATGTTTCTTCTCTGAGGAGATAGCATTTAAACTGAGATGCAATGATGAGAGAAAGGAGACTGCATGAAGAGCTGAAGGAAGAATGATTTATGAAGAGGAAACAAGGAGGAAGCATTCAAACTGAAAGTGTTGGTACATGCGAGAAACAGGAAATACTGCAAAAGTGAGGAGAACAGAGATGCAACATGCTAGAGTGATTGCTAGGAGCCAGCTCTTTCAGGGTCTTCTAGCTCCTGGAAGATATTATACTTTGTTCTTCAAAGGAAGCTAGACATAAGGAATAACAAATGAAAGAAGAGATACACAGGTTTAAGCTGTGATTCAGTTAGGGCAAAGACTTGGTTTATTAGTTTTTTCTCTCTCTCTCCTCTTCTTTCCCCAGAACTTACAGTTAATTAGAAACCCTAGTTTTTTGAGAATCACCAATAAAAATTTACCATTAGTAGATGAATCCAAAGGCCCATCCAATTGTTTGAGATTCCATGAAATATAAGTATAGGTCATAACTCAATATACTTACTTGTAAAATTTCACAACGTGCTTCCTTACAAACCTCAAACTTATTCTACAATATTTCTAGTCATCTACATGTATTCACAAGTGAGGAAAATTTCTCAGCTGGATGCTTTCTTCGATGCCATATATAATGTTAATTGATGAATTTCCCCTTCTATTCTACCTAAAAAGTTCTTCTTTCAATTTATGTTCACCATCTTGATTAAATTAATAACAGCACCTGTACAGAACTATATTTCAGAGATATTGAATCAAAAAGTTAAGAAAATTTTGTTCTGACATAGCGAGGAAAATACTGATGTGGCAGAATATAAAAAGCTCTTCCACATGGCAAGCTCTCAAAAAGTTGAGCCTTTTATAGTCTCTTTTAAATTCTCTTCCAATATAAATGATAAATTATAATAAAATATATATGTATTATATAATGTTTAGCATTTATATAAGTTTTTATGCCATTCAGTTTATTTCATCTAATAATTTATAGATGCTCTTTTAGAAAGGAAAGGACCTATGATGAGAGATTCTAGTTTACTATAGTCATTTGCTAGTGTTGTATATGTTTCCTGAATCCTTGCTATGTAATCCACAGATGGGTGGACAGAAACATAAAAATGAGATGCAGCTCTCATTTTCAAGAGCCTTCCAATGTATTCCCAAAATGCAGAGGCTTATAGGTATCCAGACAGCAGGTGATGAGGTCAATGCAAAATATCACATGTGGGAGCACAAAAAGGGCCATGTGATTAAAAAGTCCTAAAAGATAAGAGAAAATATTTTTAATGCTCCAGGAGGACATAGAATTTCCACAGAGGAATTCTATGGAGGAAGATGATGATTATATTTGCATTAGAAGAAGGAAGCCCCTGGCAACCTTGTCAAGTCTACCATGGACTAGAGCTGAGGGAAATATTTAGGATGTTGCAGAAATCCAGCTAAGAAAGATGTCCTCAATTCTAGTTGTCCTCTTGTAATACATTACAATCCCTTTTATAGACTCAGAAAATATGCATACATTTAAAGAATTGTTGAATAGAGTTACTAAAATAGCATCGTGGAATCTGCTCTCAAATAACATCTCACTGGTAGCCACAGTCCTTCCTGGAATGCTAAACTAGAAGAATACAAAGTTGGTGCTGATACACTTTTGCTTCTTACAAGGTTCCTCTTTCATTACTCAAAAACTCAAACTTCATACAGCACTGAATACTTACTACTAATACTTAATTGAAGAGGCTCTTACTTGGTTAAAGCTTCCTGAAAATATGCATAGATTAAAGGAGCCACTTTGATACCAAAAAGTAAATTCAAAGATGCAGATGTTTAGTGAGGTCTGAGGAATATTTTCTTTACAGCCTCTTCTGGGTAAGGAGGAGAGCAATGGGTCTTTAAGGAGCCCAAGTCCATAAAGACCACAGGACAGGCTGTACTGTTGCATGAAGAAAGTGAAAAAGTCTCAGAAAAGATCTCTGTTAGGCTTTCAACTGATATTGGCAAGGATACAACTTCAGCTCTGAGTTTGCAAGTAACTTACCCTTCCCTGAACAACTGACAAAATTTTCACAGAAAGAAAATGGCAATGAAATGAAATGGAGTAAGGGTGAAAAAGAGAGGTAAATAATCGACTTTAGCCATGTGTTCAGTAAAGCAAATTGTTCCTATTATTCTAGCCTCCTCTGTATACTCAATGCTTTTTCTTGAGAATATCTGAGGTGTTCAGGGTCATTGGTTAACATTTTAAAGAATAAATTTAATTTTCTTCTGCTACATGTCAAATTTCTCAACATTTTCTTTCTGAAGAACAAACTCAAACAGATAAACATTTGATTTGGATTTGGTATAAAATGCCAAAGCAAGAGAACACTTACTTATTTAAATAGCATATGATACTACCTATGTGCAATTGCACCTCTGGATTCAGAATGGTTGGAACACAAATTACTTTTTAAAAAGCAGCTCAAATCAAAATTGTCAGAAATAATACAGAGAGGCCTGTGCTGTCTCTTGAATTATAGTTGTTCTATAAAAGCCTTCTAAAATCTTCAGAGAGAAAAGCAATAATGCAAATTTCTGCTGCACATTGCTCTATTTATCACTTTGTGTTAAGCCATAGAATCTTTTGAAAAAAGTGGATTTTTACAATAAAAGATCTCTTTTCACAAATATTTATTGAGTGTGTGTCATGCAGAAGGTTTAGTGCAGGAGCTATAAAGGAAAGTAAGGCCAAGACCCCAGAGAGGTGTTTGCACATATGTAACTTTACGAAAAGGAGATACTGGACTAAATTCAGTAAGAGAAAATGAAGCAATGAAGAACAGGATTTTAATGAAGAAGATATATATATATATATCCAATAGTGTGTGTGTGTGTGTATATATATATATCCAATAATATATATATATATATCCAATAGTGTGTGTATGTGTGTATATATATATATATATATATACACACACATACATATACATACTATATACTATTGGACAGTCCTAATAGTCTAAACCAACAGAACATGAGTAGATTCATGAAACATGAATAGGTTGTAGATAGAAGAGAGCAGAGAATCAGGAAAATATTTGGAGGACTTTAATCTCCAAGAAGAAAAATGTTTAACA